CATTAACATTGCCACACATGTAAACAACACCAGTAAGATCCCATTTTTGGGTGTAGTCATCCAGCAAGATTCTCAGCCTTGTGTCGAGCCACCGATAAGACCTTCACCTCTTAGTAGTATACAAGCGTAAAGATCTCCACCTTTATGTATGACACTGGCAAGACCCTTCATCTTTAGGTAGTCTTACTGTGAGTCCTCCACCCTTATCACCCTCACCAACCACATCGGTAATATAGTCACCTTTAAGTACATCTACAGCAAGACTTCTGCCCCTGTAAACAAACCCAGATACAATTCCCAATTTTACATAAGGAATAAAATTAACTCTACAACATCGAAAAGAGAATATGATACCATACCGCAGACGTTTACAAAGGGATATTGGGGCTTCCAGAAAGATCCCTCCCTGTAGGATTTCTCTCTTTAAATAGGCCTAGTGTAGGAAATGTATCTTTGCATAGGCCTAGAATGGAATCTGTACCCTTATATAGTCCTAGAATAAGATTTTCGTCTTCACATAGGCCCTACAGTACAGTACACAGTTCACATTAATGGTTAACCCCTACATGGAGGTATGGGGTACTGTCTTTATTTATATTATAAAATGTTGATAAATGAAAATGTTGCAAATTAAACACACACACACAAAACAAGACAACAGCATTATGCATAAACAAACCGTAAGAACAGAATCACAGATAAACATATTCAGAAAATAAATTATATCAATATCAAAATGAATTATTAAAAAACAAAATCAAATATAATTATAAAGCACAGTGTTAGTCTGTTTGTTTCTTTGTTTGTTTATTAATGTTGTTCGTTGTGCACGGCTACAGTTTTGAAGGTAGAACTAAAAATTAGGCATTGAAATGTGCAAGCACCCCAGAACATTTACGGAGGTGGGATTTTGAGGAGTTGGCACCAGTGGTCTGTCCCTTAGTACCAAAGATCGCACCCCCCTCCCGTTTCCCCAATAAAAACTCATATTTTTTGTTTCTTTATTGTGAATAGTCATGAATTGTAACATAGAGAGCTGAATTTTTGTATGTTTATGTAAATAGTTCCCGAGAATGCTCACAAACGTCAACATTTAGGGAGCGGGGTCAACCTTCCCCTAAAAGTGCCCCCCCCCACCCCCCCCCCCAGTACACAACCACAGTTTTTAATATGAAGAACTAAAATCTGGTCTGGTTATCTTTTACATGTGAATTTAATTTTGGCTAAGGACGGACATAGACCATGTGGCTGCAGCCTTTCTGGTTAACATCGATAAAAACAAACTCAGACTACGCCAGGTACCCCAGCAACAAACACATTAATAAAGATGGGGACAGCAGAACCACAAGACGTAATAATAATAATAATAATAACAATAACGAAAATTCACAAGTCAGTACACCACGTCTCCCCAATACCTAAGAGCAGCTCAAAATATAATATGTTTTAGGTTTATTCGACATGTGACCTCGTTGAATATAAAAGAAACAGTTTGTCCTTAATGATCCAAAACTGAACTGAAAGAGTGGCGATTAATTTTTTTTTTCAAGAAAGAAGAAATAACAGGTAATATAATCCCTACCGACGGAGAAAACATAATAATAATGATGATAATAAACCACTTTAAGTAAACTCGAAGCATTTGGCAATTAATACATTGAAGATAAAGAAAATAAAACAACCCGAGCACATAACAACAGCAGGTCAGCGTTTGTCACATTTTGTTTACTTCCGTTTTCTTCACAGCGTTAGCCGAGAGGGATAACTAATTAAAAATAAGTTTCCTATTTTGTCAAGGGGTAACTTATACTATTATTATTATTTTATTCTTATTCTTATTATTATTATTATTATTATTATTATTATTATTATTATTATTATTATATCTGTTTCATCGTCATCATTACTAGTATCAGCGTTATCCTCACAGGCGTCAGGGGGTCCAATACTAGGCATATAAACTCTACGGTGTATGTAAGCTACGTTTCACAATCATATTTTCTCTGGTGGAAAGGTCTGATAGCACCGAAAAAAATAAACAGCTAAACTAAACGTAAATTTAAGCTGATAATAAAACCAAACATATTAATGAACATACAATACAATGACGTAAAGTATTTTTTTAATAATAATAATAATAATAATAATAATAATAATAATAATAATAATAATAATAATAATAGTAATACAAGCAATAATAACAATGATAATAATGATAAGATGAAAAGTAATCTATTAAAAGGACAATAATAACAACAAAAACAACAACAAGGAAGAAACATAAATATCGTTAAATATAATTGTACTTACAAAAGTTATTATTAAATAAAGGTTTGAATTAATATGGCGAATAAAAATACACCAAGAAACTTTTACTGTCAAATATTGGGTTGGAATTCACTTGTTTTAATCACGCGAGAGAATAGTGCTGAAGTGCTCCTGAAATACTGAAGTGTGGTTGCTGTTGTTGTTGTTGTGTTACCAGTAGTAGTATTGTTGTTGTGGTTGTTGTTTTGTTACTGGAAGTAGTATTAGTAGTAGAAGTATTGTAGTAGTAATATTATTACTGTTGTTGTGATAGGTTGTTGTTACTGTAGTAGTAACGTTGTATAACACTCTCCTGACCCATACAGCTGCCAGTTCCGGGGCCATGGCCGGTCTCTGGAACACCCCCAATCAACCTAGATGCAAAAAATCTCACCCTTCTTTTACAGTGAAAGACCGTAGTGTGTACAGTAGCCAAACTGTGTGGTGAGGACTTAGCCGTCAGTCTGTTATGTCCGCATTGCTTCTAATGGACTGCCAGGCCTTGGGAACCCATTTTCATTTTTATAATTAGCAAGTTAGTAGTAGTAGTAGTATCCCAAAATATTACGATACATATTTTATACTGTACAATTAATCTGAAATTAAAGTGAAAATATAAAAGAAAATCACTACCGGGTGGCTTTCTGAAGACTGGGCGACCATTATCGTGTCTAGACGACGAATGGGAGTCACTGACCATCACACGCACGCACTAACACACACACACACACACATATAACTACGCACCCACTAAAAATCGTTGCCCCTCGTGTAACGAGGATGGACGGCCCAAGGGCCACCTAGGCGTAAATTTTTTTAAGATGTAGAAACTGTCGCCAACACAACAACCACACCTTAAGTTAACGAGCTGCATGACCCAGTGTCAAGGAATAGTCCGAGAAGACTGGACAGCTCGCCAACTGCACTAGCTAACCATTACCCCGGAATACGATCCGAAAATCGATTAACATCCAGGTTCCCAATTACTGCTGGGTAGACAGAGGTAAATGGCGTAATGAAACTTACCCATAGTTTCACCCTGCCAAGATCTCGAACCCGGGTCCACTCGCTTGCGAGGCGAGAATGTTTACCATTATACCACAGGTCGCACACACACAAACCCACGTGCACACTACACATGAACACATACAGTACATATATCCACACACACACACACACACACACACACACACACACACAAGTACAAGCATACACGCACATAGATACATACATATACACACGTGTACCAACATAAGCAAGTGGTTTCGTGGTTCAGATATTTGAGTGTGTTAAACAGTAAAGCATTACATGTGTTTGTGTGAGAAGAAATAAAGCCTGGCGTGCACTTGAGTGTGGAAAAGTTAAATATTATCGAGAATATTTAAGAACCAAAACTGTGACGCCGATCTCTACCCCAATTGACGAAGGTGAGTTATTGATTCACTATGTGCGTGTGTGTGTGTGCGTGTGTTGTGACGTAACGAGTGAACTCCCTTCTAGATTTCTTCATATTATGACCCACATAAGAGAGCGCTGGACCAAAATAAACGCCGCCTTGTCACGTCAACTAATCCAGTGAGTGAACTTGGGGGATGTATCGTCTGTCTCAGGTCCTTCAGAATGTTATAACTCCCCACATTGTAAAAGGAACATTGTGTACCGTAAGAGATAGGGTTCTCCTTCAGGTAATAATGGTTCTGATGGAGGATACCGCCCGAATGCCAGCCACAACAGTGTTCTGGTAATTTACTGAAATAACCTACCAGTCATACGTAATAGAATATTATCTTGTTACTAAGAGCAAGAAGATACCTTATCATGCATCAATGGAATGATGACGAAGGAATTACAACACATCCGCCCTGAGATAACGATCAGGAACAACACGTGTTAAGTTACCTCACTGCGCCTGAGTGACGTTGTTGATGGCCTCCAGGTATAGTCTAATAGCATTTTCAAACACGCTGTCAGATCATTAAGTACCTGGGAGTATAATGATATATTCGCTGATGTTTTTAATCAACTCAGAAGTGACAGCACCCCAAGGGAAGGTGGTCCACTGCACTATTCGTCTAGAGTGTCACGGAAATATCTAAAGACAGATCGACGTTAAAAGTCAATGACCTTCTGACTGGAACGTGGCCTACACACCTTCGTGTGGATTATGCATACCAAATCGTAATCTTCTTCGCCTTAATCGTTCTTCCTGTAGTAAGCAGAAAGACAAATAAACGGATGGAAGCAAAGGCAGTTTCTCTTGATAATAATGGTAAGCGCTTCGTGTGTCGGTAAAACTAACATCCGAGACAAATCAAGTGTCTCTTTAAGGTATTCGTATTGAGTATCATTTTATCATAATTAAATCAGTCAAGTATGTTGTCAACAAGATGAGTCTAATATATGCAAAGATTAGGTCTGCAAATCTTTAGTCACCTGTACTGTACGTCCTCCGCCGTGACTGGAGGGTTTGTTATGCTGAGCGGCCAGGAAATAATAGTGTGAATTGATTAAAGTGACTCTTTAATGTAAGTAAGTTTGCATGAAATGAGCTGAACAATAAGTAAGTTGATAGTCGGTATAACCATACCAAGAGACACCATACCTGCACCGCAGGTCACAAACCACCTACTACAGTGGAGGATAAATGAACAATCTTCCGTACTGAGTCTTCCAGCCGCTGGTAATTTAGTCGATTAGAGAACAAGGGTCAGCGAGGACCGCCGGCCAATTACGAAGGTGATGAGAGCGATAAAGTAAACGAGAAAATAAGAGCCATACTGACCTATATTGATAACGGCATGGTTGGTAAGCTCCCAGCATGAGTGGAGTCGCAGAATGGAGAGCGTGGAGGTCTGACGGGGGCTGAAGAAGGCTAGGGCTGCGTCCGTCACGTGGTAGGCCTGGAGATTGAGTTCGTACAGTGAAGGCAAAAGCTGAGCAATGGCTCCTACCGCCTCGTCTGCCACGTTGATGCAGTCAGCGACGGATAAGGACACAATGCGGGGGTTCAGGCAGGCCCACAGCCCCGCCTCCGTCACGTCGTTGCATCCCTGCAGCTCTAGTTGGTAGACGCCGTTTAGGTGGTCCAGAAGCGTCTCGAGTCCTTTGTCAGAGATGTTGGAGCAACGGAGAGCTACTGAACGGAGGGCTTTCGTGTGGTTGACGGCATAGTTAGCCACAAGATCCATCAAATCCTCGTCGTTAGCACACATAAGTACGAGGGAGTCGAAGCCGCGTTTCTGCACCGACACGTAGAAACGGCGCCGCATGTCTGTGGTGAGCTCGACGTTGGTATGACGCATCTCACGGCAGTTGAGCACAGGCCGGACACCATGCCAGAACTTCGGCTGGTAAAGCACTGTGCGCCATCTGAGACACACCTGGGCCAGCACAGTCCTCTCGATGGGCGAAAAGTACATGAAAAATCTAGCAAGGAAGGCTTCGTCGCGGATGAGTTCGTCCCATGAGAGGTAGCGGTGACCTCTTAAAAGATGGGCCGGTGACCTGGAGGCTCTCAGCGGCCGCGGTGACCCCTGGTGACCATTAAATGGGGTCCCGGAGCTACCTGGAGGAGGCGTGGGCACCCCACCATTCCGTACTTTCCCCAGCAGGAAGCGACTGGGCTTCTCTGGGGGAACAGGCTTGTCCATCTTTCCCTTACCATTAACGAGTCCGCTGGAGGCGACGCTATTGCCACAGAGGACGTTGGCCACCTTCTCCATGACCCCGCCTCGCCTCACCGAGCCCATCCTGCCCCCCTCCCCGCCACCACTACTGCCGCCAGGTCCCGGGGGCGCCTCCCGCACCTCCCTCTCCCTACTGCGGGAGCGAAGCCCCAAACCCGTGATACACTTGGACAACTCCACGCCCGCGCGCTCCACCACCTCCTGAGCTGTTAGGGACATGGGCGGATCCAGTACCGCCTATACACGCCCGCTCCCACAAGCCGCCACCACCACCACCACTAGTACAGGTCGACATCCATGCTTCTGTGGCGCGGCAGAAGGGCGAGCACGGACAACACCACTCACTCGAGGAAGCTTTGAGCACTGGATGTGAGTGTGAGCACCACCACCGGCAGGCGGCACGGGTGAGCGCGGCGTGTCAGCCCAGGCCAGGCCTGAGCATGGCACAGGTGACACAGCAGCAAGTAGCAGGAGGAGGAACAGCAACACACACACACACCAACAACACTTCCAGCGGCTGGACCCCCGCCCGGGCCGCGATGCCCCAATCCCTTCTTCCAACCACTGATCACTGGGGAGCTGGCATGACCTGGGTTGGCCAGGTAGTACAACCCGAGGAAAGGTGCGCTAATCACCCCCGACGTGAGCCACGGTGTAAGACAGAGCGAGTGTGGCAGATTGGCGGGCGCACGTGCGACCCCTGGCCCTGCTGGCGCTCAACTGTCACCCGCCCGGCACCGCAGTGTTGTGTGTGATGGTGGCACGCGCCACACGCCGCCACGCACACGCCGCTTCCACCACCACGCACACACCTCCTCCACCACCTCGAACACGCCTCCTCCACCCCACGCACACGTCTCCACCCCAGCACAAGCCTCCTCTGCCCCACTCACACGCCTCTTCCACCCCACGCACACGCCTTCTCCACCCTACGCACACACCTCCTCCATATCCACGTATACGCCTCCACCACGTCGTATACGCCTCCTCCATCGCCACGTATACGCCTCCTTCACCACCACGCACATGCCTTCTCCACCACGCACACGCCTCCACCACCACCACGTACACGCCTCCTCCACCACGCACACGCCTCCACCACCACCACGTACACGCCTCCTCCACCATGCACACGCTCCTCCACCTAAGTCCCTGGATCATGACAATTGCCGGTCAGTTAGGATGGCCGAGGGGTCAGCAGGACTTACACAAACAATACTGGGCTTCAAAATATTGAGTGACCATAAAATAAATAAGATGAATAGATGAATTATAGATACAAATTATGTTTAATGATCATTCTCTACCAAATAATAATTAGCAAATTAACATATGATTTCTGTCTTTAAACTTAATATTATAAACCCCAGGGTAGAGTTGGAGGTATTAAAAATGTCTGTATGAAAACTTGGATTAGTCGTCCTTCATAAAGAATAGTGAAGTGTCCCTCTTGTTGTAAACGACTCCGAAAGGACCAGTTAATATTATTCTCGAGTCAGGTCAGCTTGTAGTAGGTTAGATTGGGTTAGAGTATGTTATGTTTGGATTGTTTAAGTTGCGTTAGGCTAGCTTAGGTTAGGTTAGGTTAGGATTGATTTGGTTAGGTTAGGTTCAGTCAACATACCACCGCCTTTGACACTTGAACTGCTCTGATATGTTGACTGACTGGTGACAGACAGCCAACAGACAAGTGACAGAAGGTAACGGACGGATGGCAGACAGGTAACACAGTAAACAGGCGACCGCAAACAGGTGACAGACAAGTGACAAACCTGAAAATTTAGCCCAATGATAACAGTCATAAGCTTGATGGCGTAACAACGAAATCCTTCCCCCAGTATAGGACCTGATTCTGGCTCATCTGATTAGTTCTCAGAGCGTGACGTCACTTAACTACCTCGAGCCACCAGCACCACCTAATTGGCGTCATCGATGTGACGTCCCGCCATGTGAACCAATCAAGACCACTAGAATTGGTACCATTGTTGGGAACTGGGGACAAGGGCACGCTGAAAAAATATCCTTCTTGTAGTGGTATTTTTGGAGGGGTGCAGCAGTCAGGGCGGCCAGATAATTAACTTTGGAAGAGGATACGATCGTCTTTCTCACGCGGACAGTGGCCACCTCCGCAGTAGGTTACATTGGCCTACATTAAGTCCTCCCTCCTACAGATAATACGAGTGTGTTTTAACTGATTCATTTAAGCCAGTATACAAAGATGGTTTGAAAATGGCGTCAATAATGGAATGAGATTCTTCGTAATTAAGATGTTTTTTTTCTTTAATTCCCAATCAAGAAAGGTAATTAGCGTGCACAGTTTGTTGGTTGTTACCCAAGTTAGTATATAAGCTGGCACCCTCCCTGGTTGCTCCCACACACTCATTATGTTCCGGTTAAATCTCAGATATCACTGGTCGTTATGCTGGCCAATCAGAATGTCTGTTATAGTTACCAGATGTTGATGGTCAAAATAATATCGTATTCCACTCACACTCTTCGTTCGTAATTTCCTCATAAACCTTACGCCTCTGCCATCCCCCACGCACATGACGTCTCCACCCCACGCACACGCCTCCTCCACCCCACGCACACCCCTCCTCCACCCCATGCACACGCCGCCTCCATCCCACACACACGCCTCCACCCCACGCACACGCACACGCACACGCCTCCTCCACCCCACGCACACCCCTCCTCCACCCCATGCACACGCCGCCTCCATCCCACACACACGCCGCCTCCACCCCACGCACACGCCTCCTCCACCCCACGCACACCCCTCCTCCACCCCACGCACACGCCTCCTCCACCCCACGCGTCGTTGTACAGATTTTTGTCAGTATACATTGAACCACAGGAGTTGTTTGTAAGAGGAGGAGAAGCAGTTTAATGGTAACAAAGTACTAATACAAACAAGGTATGACCCTCACGAAGACTTCATGGTCGTCTGAACCTTAACATCTAGTTCTTGATATTTGGCTTCAAATTTCAATGAAAATGTTAATGTTGAAAGTCCATTAATATAATTTTAGAAATACATAAAGTATCAGAGGTCAGGGCGACTGAGTGAACGGTTCCCTGCCTTGTGTCAGTTTTTTTATAATTTATGTAAAAATAAGAAAATTAATTTTTGAATAAGTGATAATTAAATTTCTGATATATTATGTTGGTAGCACATTTCTGTGGTAACACTGTGGACACGAAATATCAAATCGTGATGAATCGTAACTCAAGATCACTATAATATTTTACAACATGTTATGTAAGAGCTGTTGCAAGAGGTGCGTTCATCTATCCCAGTGATTTTCAACCTTTTTCATCTCACGGCACAGTGAGCCAGGCACTATAATGGTCGAGGCACACCATCAGTATTTAAGGATATATTTGATCGGCGGATCTAAACTACGGAATTAAGGAGAGAATTTAAAACTGCCATTTGGGCTTTTAATGAACAACACGTTTGTTTATTTATTGCATCATTGAAAAAAAAGGAGTTTAATGAGCTCCATAAAAGTACCAGTTATGTTAAAACGTATCCAAATGCTATTTTTTAAAATGCTATCCAAATGCTATTTAAACTCCCGCGAGGGTGTCGTCTTACTTCTCTATTATTCCCGCGCACGCGTCAACGCCCACCAGTAATACGAGATACCACTTAGCCGCAGTCTGAACCGCGACGAATATAATGTATTTCTTTGTGCATGAACCTCTGTCATGCGTGGCAATGAGAAGTGATACCACCCTCAGTGTCTAGACCTGACTGAATTACTCAGATTAGGTAAACTGTACTCCAGGCTTTGTCAATAATTTTTTTTTTAAACTAAAACCGAGGTTCGTACGTTCAATTCCCTTCTCATTTCTGTCATTGGAGAGTTCGCGGATATTTTATAGCCGGTTAACTATAGGTTCTGTCGAAGTTAACTAGGCTGGTACATTTATATTATATTGGGTTAGAGTAGGGAAACCCAATTGTCTGTTTCTCCTTTTATTGAGGAACTGCTGTTGATACAATTCCAGAGTGTAAATCAGCCGTAACTTAATCACTGTAGCTATGAGTGTTAAGAGAAGGAAGGGGGCTATGTAAATAGACCGTTTAATCACGTCCTTCTTGTGTGAGGGATTGAGTCGTAATCTATGAGTAGTGACCCATCGAGGGAGAACGGAATAGGCACGTCGTCCTCCCTCGAGGGAAGACGGAGCCATCCACTGCGGCTCTCAAATAACGTCTTCCACTAGTCAAGGATATCAAACTACTGCCGGCTTTGGGTGGCCAGGGAGCCTGCTACTTAATGCCTTAACTCAGCATAATATGACGCAGCTTCCCACCTTATCATGTGCACTGAACATGTCACCTCATAGCCAGTGGAAAGTTACAGGGGGTGAATCAGTATATAAATCAAATGTAATTAACCCATTTATATAATTCTTCTGTTTATGAAACAGGGTCCATTACAGATACCTTGTATTATACAATTACGCGCCGTATCAGTTTTGACCATTGCATACTTGGCCTAAATTTAGTGTAAACGTTGTGACTCTTGAAGAAATGGACTGATTTTCTAATCTTAAAACTTGTCTATTCAACATTGCGGGCGAGTTTTATGGTTGTAATAGACATTATCTCATGATTGTAACCAGGGGATTCAAATTGTTCAAGGATATGTGAACACATGCACACGCAGTCTGGTTGGAAATATGAGAACGCATATAATTAATAAATTAAAAAATATAACACTAAAACGACCGTAAAAATATCATCAACATAGCACTGAGAATCCTGACTAAATACGTTGTGCACATATCCACTAATATGACAGGTACAGTGTGACTTAATTAAGAGAGTGTAAATACAGTCCCATAACCTGACCTAAGCTAACTTACCGTACATACCGGGTATTCATTAAAAAGTGGTATGTGTGTGTGTGTGTGTGTGTGTGTGTGATGACAGTGATAAATACCTTGGTGCGGGCCAACAATGTGAGCAAGTGTCGCAGGCCGTCTTCCTCCTCTCACGGGAAATCTAGTAATGTTTACATCATTGCTTAGTTCACATCCTGATAAATATAACCATCTCCATGCTGTTTTTACGCTTGGTGAGAACACTAGTGCATACACACACACACACAGTAAAAGTTTCACATAAAACTTCTCATTAACATAATATGTAAAAACTTTGAATTCCAACCATAATAAATCTCCAGGTAAATATTAGCAAGAATTGTGTTTTCCTGAGATACACCAAGAAAAGTTTATTCGGGCCAAGGACTACAATAAGAGAAACAGGAAAGCAAGGCGAAAACCGCCTAAGCCACATAGCATATAGTTGGCCGCAGGATCAACAGATGGCGCTAGTATGCAAGGCACGTCTGTACGTCGTCTGTCAGAGGTCCATAACCTTACTTTTTCCGGCCGTTTGTGGCCGGGAATTGTTAGACATGCGGCCGGCTGAACGACGTTCAAAATTCGGGCAATGCGGCTGGAAGTTTTAACCGCAAGCATGGGATTCGTCACGTGCGACTTGCTGGTGGACGTTGACAGCTGCCGCTCCACTACAAACCATGACGTCATCCTGGGCTTGATCCACGCTGAGTGCTCCCTAGTTTTCTTTGCACAGCCCCAATTATTGCTAAGTTTTATACAAAATCTATATATATATATATATATATATATATATATATAACAAAGAAGTCTGTCTGTCTATTTATTTGT